TACTCACCTGCCTCGAAGTGTTTGCAGTGCTATGATGTTGTATCGTGCGTCAGTTGTCTATTAACTATTTTTATGTACCACCTGTGCCAAGTCTTAATATTTGACCAGCAGATACCTTGAACGGTTGTGGAACACTTGACTTACTTTTAGGTTAACTGTGGTCTTACAAGTTAAACGTTTCAAACAACATTATAAAACAAAAACACTTGTATATGCTATAAAGACCAAAAATGCATTTATCTATATGGACAAAACCTTGAAAATTTAGTCCAATAGTCATAGCATAGAAACAAGTAGTCAGAAAATGCACTTTTTATATGTTTTCGGTGTTGAGATAAAATAGACTGATAGAAAAATCAATAAAAAAAAAATAGGCATGTTGTGCATTGAACTACTACTCATTTGAAATCATGTCAGCTCATCTATTACACGTTCACTTGGCCAAGTTTTAAGACACCACGGACAAAATCCATCCCCAATTGAGATAGAGAGTTGGGGTGAGAAAACGTAACACCTATGCCCATATGTTTTACACGATTCCTCACCCGGGTAAGAAATCGTGTCTAGGTGAAAAATCGCGCCGTAACAAACGTAAATCCAGCCAAGCGTTTTACTTGACAATAGAGCAACGTACAAAATGTGTTTTGTCAACCATTTATAAACGATCCATGAACACTGACCAATGGCCGATTGATGTTATCATTCAAGATGTGTTACCTGCATTTTTTTCCGTTTTAATCCTTAAGGAAAATCGCCTAAACGGTCATCTGACTACAAAGACTGAGCAGGGAGAATGGTAACTTTTCAACTTTCAATGAAATAATTTGTTTTCCATGATGGCAGTTTTGGTCGGCAGTGGGTAACTATTTGTCAATAAAGCTATCAAAAAGCATTTACAACTAAATTTGAATAGATTTCTCCTTTAAAGGCCCCGTCCCGCTGTCAAAGGTGGTTAAACCTGCCTCATTTATGTAAGAAATTATTGTTTCTAAATGATGTTTCATACGGCAATTGTTGTACTCTTCTATTGGCATTAACGAGTAGTGTTTAAAAGCAGGATTTTAGGTAATTTTTCTTTTTCGGGGCGCCGCCCACTCTATCCTTCAGGGGTTGAACAAGCCTCATTTACCTCCCACCTCCCCTTAATGATATTTCAGACCATATTTGGTTGCAATATCCATTTAGGCATTAGGAGGAATAGCATTTTAAAGCAAATGTATAGCAAAGTTCCATTTTCGAGGCCCCGAAACATCCCCACCAAGTTGTAGTTCAATGGCATCAATGGAACTGGAGAAGAAGTTTAAAAAGTGCTTTTCAAGATAGCAGCAATCGCGGATTTCAGACCAACCCAAAAAATAACATCACTTGATCAGGACCATATCAGGATCATTTCAGGCAAGTGTCAGCTCAATTCCACTGGTGGAACTTGAGAAACTTGTATAAGAAACTGTGAGATGATACAGTCTGACATGACAAGTAGTCAGAAACTAATACATGATACAGTGTGTCATGACAGGTAGTCAGAAACCGTAACATGATACAGTGTGACATGACAGGTAGTGAGAAACTGTAACATGCTATAGTGTGACATGACAGGTAATAAAAAACAGTGACATGATACAGTGTGATATGACATATAGTAAAAAACTGGAACATGATACAGTGTGACACGACAGGTAGTTAGAAACTGGAACATGATAAAGTGTGACACGACAGGTAGTTAGAAACTGGAATATGATACAGTGTGACATGACAGGTAGTCAAATAATGGAATATATTACAGTGTGACATGACATGTAATCAGAAACTGTAACATGATACAGTGTGTCATGACAGGTAGTTAGAAACTGTGAGATGATACAGTGTGACATGACAGGTAGTCAGAAACTGTGAGATGATACAGTGTGACATGACAGGTAGTCAGAAACTAATACATGCTGAAGTGTGTCATGACAGGTAGTCAAAAAATGGAATATGATACAGTGTGTCATGACAGGTAGTCAGAAACTGTAACATGATACAGTGTGATATGACAGGTAGTCAAAAAATGGAATATGATACAGTGTGTCACGACAGGTAGTCAGAAACTAGAACATGATACAGTGTGATATGACAGGTAGTCAGAAACTGTGAGATGATACAGTGTATCATATCAGGTAGACAGAAACAGTGATATAATACAGTGTGTCATGACAGGTAGTGAAACACTGAAACATGATGCATTGTTTTATGACAGGTAGTCAGAAACAGTGACATGATACAGTGTGTCATGACAGGTAGTCAAAAACTGGAACATGATACAGTGTGTCATGACAGGTAGTCAGAAACAGTGATATAATACAGTGTGTCATGACAGGTAGTCAGAAAATAAAACATGATACATTGTGTCATGACAGGTAGTCAGAAACTGTAACATGATACAGTGTGTCATGACAGGTAGTCAGAAACAGTGATATAATACAGTGTGACATGACAGGTAGTGAAACACTGAAACATGCTGCAGTGTTTTATGACAGGTAGTCAGAAACAGTGACATGATACAGTGTGTCATGACAGGTAGTCAGAAACTGTGATATAATACAGTGTGACATGACAGGTAGTGAAACACTGAAACATGATGCAGTGTTTTATGACAGGTAGTCAGAAACAGTGACATGATACAGTGTGTCATGACAGGTAGTCAGAAACTGTGATACAATACAGTGTGACATGAAAGGTAGTGAAACACTGAAACATGATGCAGTGTTTAATGACAGGTAGTGAAATACTGGCACATGACACAGTATGTCAGGACATGTAATCCGAAACTGTGACATGCTACAGCGTACCATGACAGGTAGTCAGAACCCGTAACATGATACAGTATGTCATGACAGGTAGACATAAACTGTGTCATGATACAGTGTGACATGACAGGTAGTGAAACACTGAAACATGATGCAGTGTTTTATGACAGGTAGTCAGAAACAGTGACATGATAAGGCGTGCCATGACAGGTAGACAGAAACTGTAACATGATACAGCGTGTCATGACAGGTATTGAAACACTGAAACATGATGCAGTGTTTAATGACAGGTAGTGAAATACTGGCGCATGACACAGTATGTCAGGACATGTAATCCGAAACTGTGACATGCTACAGCGTACCATGACAGGTAGTCAGAACCCGTAACATGATACAGTATGTCATGACAGGTAGACATAAACTGTGTCATGATACAGTGTGCCATGACAGGTAATCTGAAACTGTGACATGATACAGCGTACCATGACAGGTAGACAGAAAATGTAACATGATACAGTGTGTCATGACAGTTATTAAAATACTGAAACATGATACAGTGTGTCATGCCAGGTAGACAGAAACTATAAAACATGATACAGTGTGTCATGACAGGTAGTCAGAAACCGTAACATGATACAGTGTGCCATGACAGGTCGACAGAAACCGTAACATGATACAGTGTGTCATGACAGGTAGACATAAACCGTAACATGATACAGTGTGTCATGACAGGTAGTGAAACTGTGACAACATGGCACAGTGTGACATAACAGGTACCATGTTTTAGTTTATGTCTTATTGTCAAGTCACACTGATTGAGTAGTAATGTACAAGACAACTAAAAAGAAGTGAAGTTGCAGAATAATGTGTATTTAGTTGTCAATGTAAAAGTGCTTAATTACTGGAGGGGTCGTTCGAGTACATACTTTACTGTATTGTAATACTACCAAAACAGTTTAACGTTTCATGTATCGTTCAAAATACGAACTCCTGTATTTCCATATTTGTTTTAAATGAACAGTGATCTCTTGGGCATTTCAGTAATATATTAAATATTGGACTAGCCAAATATTGGACTGGTTCAATGTTTGGCTGGCCCAATATTTGGCTAGTTTGATATTCAAATGACATCGTCTAATGTGTTCAATATATAAAGTCATCAATGCCCCTCATTAGCATTTTAATGGAAGGTCACAATGATTGACGGCTTAAATGAATATTTTGTCATGATTTCAGGAATGAAAACTCTAACGACTCCCTATGGCGGGATTTGTACAGGTTGTACGTGTATACATGTATGTTGGAAATGCCATTCTTAGGAGTTTTAGTTCCGAGCGACAACAGTTATTGTTCTTAAGGAAGTTCTTTATTTGCGGAAATAGTCCCGTAGCTCTGAGTATAATAACACCTGAATGGTGAATTTAAGCTGACATTGGTCGGTTTACATGCTGAAAAATTGCTGATGTTTCCCGCTACAAGTGTTATTAATAAGCTGATACCATATTGTCTCAGCTATTAGGCTTTGGTCTGTGATATTGGCCGAGGCCTCGTTAATACAAAACATGTTAATAACATATTTTCAATGACCTTGATAGCTCTGCTCTAGTCTTCTACGATTGGCTGATTAAAGAGAATGTGCGACCTAGCGATAGTCTTGTTCCAAACTATCATTGTTCCCACTACACTTCGTATATATATTACATACATTATACCAGCTGAGCGACCCGTCCATGCAGTATTTTATAAACAAACACTCATGCAGTGCAACGTGCGGTAAAATAGTGATAAGTGTGGAGGATAAAGGTAGTATGTGCACGCATATACGATGGCGAATTAGGTAACATATTTAGGTCATCTACGGCAACGGAGAGCAGTAGTCGAATTTAAAAAGTCGTAATAAAAATATATCGTAAACAGTCGTAATAGAAATTATTAAAAAGGGAGCATTTTCTTGTTGAAAAGGTCTCATTATCAGTGAGAAGAAAACATGAATGTGCGGTTTTCCTCTGTATTTAGGTAGATAAAAACACTTTATGATGTTATGTATATGAATAGTATTTGATATATGATCACGTGCGTTTTATTGATCAATACTTTCTATTCCCATCTATGATATAGTCAGCCATGAGTTTTCGTTGATTGACGTGTTAAAACTACGTCACCTCTTGCCGTGGGAAACATGGTACATGTTAACATTCTATGGAAAGGTTTTCGAATGCAAACTTATTTTTTGGCGGCTGTTCTAGGCCATCGTACTTATTTAGCATCGTTGAAATGATATTAGTTATTGATCCAGTTAGCATTAAAATGGCGGAGCTGGTTGACGTACGGGACGACGAAGGGCATTTTATGAAATTGAAAAAGTATGATGGCAGATACTATGGCCAACATTTCGTTGGCAATGTCAAGGACCATCTGGCTGCAATAGACTCGATGGACGTCAGAGATGATGACACTTTCATTCTCTCATATCCAAAGTCAGGTTAGTATAGTTTCTTGTATTGGTTACATTAAATTTTCATCTAAAACTTTTACGTATTTTTATTTCCTATAATGAAAAAAAATAAAGGCATTATACAGACTCTGTGTAACCCCTTTGGCAACGTTAGAATAACAAGTGGCCTTTCAAAACGGCCACTTTTTCTAACTTCCTCTCCTAGCGCCAACGTTGTCCTCCTTGTTACTATACCAGTAATCTTTCATAACACCCAGTTACATAGTTTGACAGAAAACCTCCCATAATTCCCACTTTCTTCTTAAGTTAGCATCACATTGCACCCACTTAAACCTACAGGTATCCTCTCATAACACCAACTTTATCGTACAGGTCACCTCTCATAACACTAACTTTATCTTGAAAGTAGCCTCTAATTTTACCACCTTTATTATAAAAGTAGCCCTTTATAACGCCCACTTAATCCCACAATTATTTTCTCATTACACCCACTTTTACTTACAGGTATCCCACCATAACACTCACTTATCCTAAAAGTAACATCTCATTTAACACCCATTTTTCCCACAACCACTGTAGGTTTCCTCACTCATGACTCATTGGATAAACCTGCTAGAAGTTGGTAAAAATGTTTGGTAACCCATTAGTGGGTAACATCATGGACGTGTTTTCATTGGACAATCGTTGATTTATGGCGTCACGTAACAATGCTTTTCGACGTCATTTTCCATCGTGACGTCATGCTCCAAGGCAATTGTTCTCCCATCGGAAACACAAATGATATATTTTCTAAGGGTATTTTTTGTGTGTTTTTTTCAGATAAAAAACGAACGTTATGGGAGAAAGAGGTCTCCAAACTCGTGATGATTTGTTATCACGCTTATATAACTCTATACATTTTCAAATTGTAAAAGACTTTCGGTAACCCTCGTGCCTTAAATACAATTTGAAGATTAACTAACTCGAGTAAGATTAAAATGATAACTAACCACCACTCGTTGGGGAACCTTTATGTATCCTATAGGCAACCTCTAATAACACCCACTTTATCTTACAGGTAACCTCTCATATATGTAACATACACTTCTCCTAGAGGTAGCCTCTCATAACACCCGTTTTATCCCTCAGGTAAACTCTCAAAACAACAAATGTATCTTACGAAAAACTTATCATGACATCCATATGATCCTACAAGTAACCTTGCATAACACGAACTCATCCGTAAGATAGCCTTACATAACGCCTACTTTATCATAACCATTACTTATTATCTTTAAGATAGCCTCTTATAAAACAAACTTTATCATAAATATAACCTCACAAATAATAAACTGTATCTTTCAGTAATCCTCACATAACACACTTTTGATCCTAAAATCTACCGCAATATCCCACTTCATATCAAAAGCAACCCCTATTAACACCCACGTTATCCTACAGGTAACCTCTCATAACAACAATCTGATACATTAAGCAGCTGCTCATAACATCCAATAAATCATTCAAAGACTTTGTATGACAGCGATTTTATCCTAAAAGTAACCTCTCATAATCCTACAGGTACTTTATTCTACAAGTAGCCTCACATAACAACAATCTGATACTTTAAGCAGATGCTCATAACACCCAATTTATTTTTAAATAAAATCTTTATAGCAGCGACTTTATCCTATAGGTGACCCCTTATAATGCCCACTTGATCCTACAGGTAACCTCTCAGCACACCCTATTTATTCCTACAGGTAACCTCTCGTCACACCCTACCTATTCCTACAGGTAACCTCTCGACACAACCTATTTATTCCTACAGGTAACACTCATTATATCCTGTTTATTCCTACAGGTAGACTCTCATTACACCCTATGAATTCCTACAGATAACCTCTCATCACACCCTATTTATTCCTACAGGTAACTTCTCATCACACCCTATTTATTCTACAGGTAACTTCTCGTCACACCCTATTTATTCCTACAGGTAATATCTCACCACACCATATTTATTCCTGCAGGTAGCCTCACATAACAACAATATGATACTTTAAGCAGATGCTCATAACACCCAATTTATTTTTAAATAAAATCTTTATAGCAGCGACTTTATCCTATAGGTGACCTCTTATAATGACCACTTGATCCTACAGGTAACCTCTCAGCACACCCTTTTTATTCCTGCAGGTCTCGTCACATCCTACCTTTTCCTACAGGTAACCTCTCGTCACAACCTATTTATTCCTACAGGTTACTTCTCATCACACCCTATATATTCATACAGGTAGCTTCTCGTCACACCCTATTTATTCCTAAAGATAGCCTCTCATAACACCCTATTTATTCCTACATTTAACCTCTCATAACACCTAGGTACTTTATCATACAATAAACTCGCATAATAAAAAATGTATCCTTAAGACAGCCTCTCTTAGCACCAACTTTAATGTTCAAGTTGCCTCACATAACATCTTTTATCTATAAGCAACTCCTCATAACAACCATTTTATACTTCAGGAAACCCTTCATCACACCGACTTTATCATACCGGTAAACTCTCATAATACCCATTTTATCGTACCGGCAACTTCTCATAATAAGCACTATATCCTGCAGGAAGTTTTTTCATCACAGTGGTTTTATCCTGCAGGTAGCCTTTCAGAACACCCACTTTATTATAAAGTTTTCCTATCATAACATCCATTTTATCCTACATAGAACCTCTCATAACTTCCAATTAATCCTACCTTTAATTTCTAATAACTTCCAATTAATCCTACAGGTATTCACTCATTACACCAATTTTATCAGACAGGTAACCAATATTAACACCTAATTTATCCTTTATGAAGCCTCTCACGACACCCACTTAATCCTATCGTTAACCTCTCATAACAATACTGTTTCCTTCAGGTGACCTTTCATATCACCCTAATTATCCGACAAGAATCATCTCATAACATCAACTTAATCTTACAGGTGTCGACTCATTACACCCACTTTATTCTATAGGAAGGGTCTCATAACATCCTCTTTATCCTACAGGTAACCTCTCATAATACCGACTTTATCATACAGTTAGCCTCTCATAACACCAACTAAATCATATAGGTAGCCTATTTTATTGGAAGCCTGGCATTGCATCCCCTTTATCATATAGGTGTCCTCTCATAACACCAACTTTATATCTAACATGTAGCATCTTCCTCTCATATCACACACTGTAAGCTGTATGAATTCTCCCACAACACCCGTTATATCCTAAAGGTTTTCTCTTATAATAGCGACTTAATCCTACATGCAACATATCCCTGTAATAACACACACTTTAAGCTATAGGAAGCCTCTATTTTAAAATCTACTTTATTCCAAAGGTAGTTACTCATAACGACTACTTTATCCTACCGGTAGCCTCTCATAAAATCCAATATATCTGAAACCTTGCCTGCCATACCATCCAATTCATCTTACATGTAGCCACTCATATCCACTTTATCATACAGGTAGTCTCTCATAACACTCACGTCATCCTACAGGTAACACCTACCTCTTATAACACGCACTTTAAACTATAGAAAGCCTCTTATTTCACCCACTTTATCATGTAGGCAACCTCCTATAACATCTACTTCATTCCACAAGTAGCATCACAAAACACCAACTTCAGGTACAGGTAGCCTCTCATACTACCCTCTTTATCATGTAGGAAGCCTCCTATAACATCCACTTAATCATACAGGTAGTTTCTTTATCATGTCGCCTTGTTATCCTACAGGTCACCTCACATAACATCCACATTATCATACAGGTAGCGTCTCATAACACCCACTTTATCATACAGGTAATGTCTCATAACACCCACGTTATCATACAGGTAGCGTCTCATAACACCCATTTTATCATACATGTTACCTCTCATAACATTCACTTTATCTCACACAGGTAGTCTTTCTCAACAACCATTTTTTTCTGATATGTCGCCTCTCAAAAAGCTCTTTTCCAATATGTTTGAATATTCGAATATTTGAAACAACACACCCGATTTAGCGGAAGCACATTTTTAGATATATTCAATTACTCTTCAGTTGATGGTTGATTTAAAATTCTAGCTAGATAAAAAATGATGACCAATCATCATTTTACCGCTGGGAACCCTTTATATCCGAAACATCTAGTTTTCTTTTTCTCTCAAATGAAAATACTATTTAATACCTCTGTGTCTAATTTTACATTACGTAAGTGTTAATATGTGGCTAGCTAATTAGCGTACTTGTTGTTGGTAAAAACAAAAACATGAATGTGTATACTTTTCTATTTTCGTTATAGTCTATAACATACTTCAGTCATTCTCTTCCAAGTGTGTAATTGTTTCAACCTTCTTATTTTCTTTCTTAGCATTCATTCCCATTCACATACACTTGGTTATCTACTGGTACTAATGTTACTTACCAAGTGTTAGGTTTGATCAAAGTCCTATGTAGACATATATTTCCTTGAAACCATTTCCTTTATTATTATTTTGTTTCTCTTTTATACCCTCCAATAATGAATATTACAAAAAAAAAATACATAATTCTAAAATAACCGATAATGATTTACATTTTGATTATTTTCCGTTATGGTAGGTTATTATAGAAAAAGCATATACATATATATTATGGTTATACGCTACATCCATTAACTGATTTGTTTACATCTATGAACAACTATCTATAATATAATTTTGAGGTAATTGTACATGGTACTGATTGAAGATAGACGAACTGCCTCTATTTTATATTGGTTTATAGCATATACTATTTAACTGCAGATCAATAAATTAAATCGTTCTTAATCAGAGAGGCCATGCAAGAAAGCTAAACATCAAACCATCATTATCAAGTATTCCTCACCGAAGTTCGTCTCTCAGATGCTCTGTACATGTGGAGTGTAATGTTATGTGACTTACAACATTTTTATAGATATATCAACATTGATGACAAAGTTCCTAAATACAGGTTTCTTCTGATATTTACAAACAAATTTGTTATACATGTAACGATATTTCTAGAGTACGGAAATTGAATTTATCCTTACCTTTAAGGATGTGGAGTAAATTCATTATGGATATGATATCAAAGTTTTACTTTTAAACAAACAATGTTCGTATTAAACGTAGAGTCATAGCTTGACAAAGGGACCAGTCGGTCTTGACACGTTGCTACACGTTAGATACGTACATTGTTTTTGTAAAAAGTAAAACTTTGATATCACATGTTTCCAAACTGACGAATCTTTTTGAAGGAACAAAATCATTGTGGTAATCTTCCATTTAGAAAAAATCAATTTCATTACGCGTTCGTTCTCTCCATTCCTTTTCTTCCGTTCAATGAACCGCCATTTCTTTACAGGATTTGTTGGAAAAGTCATATATCGTAATTATCTAAAATGTATATTGTACCATATGTCTAAAAATATATAATTACAATTCTCATCATAGACAAGTTCTTTCTTTTAAATAAACATTTAGTATTTTATATGTTAAAACAAAATAAATACAAGGATGAGATAGTCCAGATGTATTCATTATTGAAACCTCACAAATACATATTTCACTGGTTGTGCTATATTACCCGTTACACAATGTTTTCAAATATACATAATTACACGTAAGAATGAATACAATGAAAATTACCTTTTCTTTTAAAGGAACTCATTGGGCATTTACTCTAGCCAGCATGCTGCGTACAGGTGAAACGGTTTACAGAGGATCACCGACATTCTTAGACTTCACCGATATGGAAACACTTGATAATCTTCCGTCCCCTAGAGTTTTTGCGAGTCACATGACATTTGACTTCATGCCTAAACAAGTTAAGGAAGGGAAAGGCAAGGTCATTGCAATATTTCGGAACCCAAAGGACGTTTTCACGTCACTCTACACATTCGTTAAGAAATTGGATCATGCTAGCTTAAAAGATACTTACCAAACTACGTGGGAGAGCTTGCTCACCTTTTACGTTGAAGGCAGAAGTAAGTATACTGTACCAGTTTCAACTGAAATATATGGGAGAGCCCTCTCGCCTTTGACGTTGAAGGCAGAAATATAAAAGTCCAAGTAGCAGTACGGGAAAAGGCTTCGCACGCTTTGTGTGAAACAAATGTAAATCATTGGAATTTTAAGTATTTATGAATGTTTAAGAATCAGATTCTAACCAAAGTTTTTTTTTCCGACAGACTGCAGCACAATAACTTTATAGAAAATATGTAAGGGATTAAAATTCTAAGAAGAAAAAAACTTACCAATGCTAAAAGCCAAAGTTGTACACAGAGCCAACGTTTCCAAGCATGAAATAACGTTAAAATATTGTAAAATAACGTTAAAGAGTTTGACACTGATTCGACGTTAAATAATTGTTGATATAACACTCAAAATATAGCAACGTTTATCAATATCCTTAGTACATGAAAAGCATTGGGAAGTGATTATTATTTAGAAATTTCCACTGTTCGAGTAAGAATCTTCCATTTTCTCTTATAATTTTATCAGATAACAGTTAGCTATTTGTAGGCGAATTTAATGGGATCCGATTTTACAATATAAACATTACGTGTTATTTATTGATTAAAAAAACACATATTGTAAGATGCATCACGCCTAGATATGTGTAAAATGGCATTTTTAATGCTTCGTAATCTCAGTCTGTATTCGGTTATCTAAGTGTGTACGTGTGAAATAACTACCGACCTATGTATTTGATACAGATGGTATTCTTGGGATTTCTGTAGGAACAGCCCATTCAACAGGAAACCCGAAATACCTTCATATATACATATTAGGTTAATTTTGATATATCACATGATGATAAGTTTGATCTTGTTTTAAGTGCGTATTTCTTGAATCAACATTTAAAGGAACATTAAAAGGACACTATATTAAACATTTTGTTAAGCTTTGTTATTATAAAGATATTTTCTCATGATAGACAGAATGGTTAACATGATAACAATGTATTAAAGTGATTTCACAGAATTTAAACATTATATTGATGTTGTAGTCATCTTATTATTCTAATGTTCAAAAAATCACGTTGACGTTTGATGAACGCTTAAAAAAGTATGTAAGGTTAAATGTAAAAAAGAAAAATTTAATTTAATATTGAAGCTAAATCAGTGTTCAAAATTTGTCAGAATTGAACATTAAAATAATACTAAAACATATTAACATCTCATTAACTTTGTGATTTAACGTTATTCCAAAATTTCAATGATGTCAATTTTTTCGGACGTTTAACTCCAACATTGAAAAAATCATAACGTTATTTTGATGTTGGATTATAACGTTATATACGGTTTACTGGTTATGGATATGAACATTTTCTTGCGTATGTTTTAATAAAATATCAGTTGTTTGTATGATCCTATCACTTTGATTGACGAACCTTAGTGAAAGAATATTCTAGCTTGTGTTGAATGCTTTTGTGCACTTTACAGTTTTCTACGGTTCCTGGTTTGAATATATGCAATCTTGGGATGAAGTGAGGAGGGAGCACAATGGAAACAACATAATGTATCTCATTTATGAAGACATGATACAGGTAAGTCTATCATCAGTTTCGCTAGAAGCTAAAACACTCGTAGGAAACACAATCAAACAAACAAACAAACACCTACAGAAAGTACACATACAATTATACAGAATTACGGAAACAAATAAGCGCATTAACACACAGATATAACAAACAAATAAACAAACAAACATACAACCTAAAACAAATACACTCAAACAAAGAAAAACATCTACAAGAATAGATTGATCAACCACATTCATCACATTCATCACGTTTTCAATTTTAAGTATTCATTCTCATTCAATTTTGTCTGATAAAACAGGAAATACAGCCATCAACTTTCATTACAGTTAATAGCCCACTCGCCTTTAACCTCATAGAATAACGCGCTCGCCTTTCACTGCATAGAATAACGCACTCGCCGTTCACTACATAAAATAACGCACTCGCCTTTCACTGCATATAATAACGCACTCGCCGTTCACTACATCGAATAACGCATTCGCCGTTCACTTCATAGAATAACGCACTCGCCGTTCACTACATAGAATAACGCACTCGCCTTTCACTACATAGAATAACCCACTCGCCTTTCATTACATAGAATAACGCACTCGCCGTTCACTACATAGAATAACGCACTCGCCTTTCACTACTGTAGAACGCGCATTCGCCTTTCACTGCAGTAGATAACGCACTCGCCGTTCACTACTGTGGATAGCGCACTCGCCTTTCACTAAATTGGATAGCGCACTCGCCTTTCACTACAATGGATAGAGCAATCGCCTTTCACTTCTCTGGATGGCACACTCACCTTTCACTTCTGTGTATAGCGCACTCGCCTTTCACTACTGTGGAAAGCGCACTGGCCTTTCACTACAGTGGATAGTGCACTCGCCTTTCACTGCTGTTGATAGCGCAGTTCCCTTTCACCAAGGTGGTTGGGGTTTTATTTCTCGATCGGGAGTCTAGGATATTCCAGGCTCCTTCCAAATTAGGATCTTTTACGCGCGTTCATCCGGGCCAATACGAGTGAGTTATATAGATTTGAATAATAGCTTTTATAAATATTGTAAAATAAATAAGTTCATTTCTCAAAAATATTCAAAGCATATTTACGAATTTGTTGTAACAGCAATTATAAGTTGCAAGAGGTTGCACATAAGTGAAGTACCATTAACGACACGTCAAGCCTCGTAAACATTTATTGTGATGGTTTCCTTCTCTAGGAAACAAGTGTAAGATATGCGGGAAAATGCACGACCACGCTAGGTTTCGAACCCAGAGCTCTCCAAACTCCAGACGGACGCTCAGTTACATGATCGGTGACAAATGACCCATTCCAGTCCCGCTACAGTCTTTCCTCCTTTTTCTAAAGTGTTCGTCCCAAAAGACAACACTCTACATCTTTGTATTTAAAACACAGGTTATATTCGTGTGTGAACTCGTACTGCAGTATAACTCTGTTTAGCTGCTCACTATTTTCAACGGTCTTACAGAATAATGTGGTATGTTTAATTTGGATAATGTGCGTTCTATGTGCATGGAAAAAATGTGATTCGAACCTCGTCTCGGTCAGTAATTATTTATTATAATCATACAACCACATACTTCCATTAGCTACAAAACAAACGGAAAATATTGCACGTTACATAAATAGATAATGCATGAGTTAAGATCACAATGCATAACAGATCTTATTACTATATTTGTTTTATGTATTTATCACATTTTAATGTTTTTTCAATATTTATGGATTTAGAACCTGAGCCCACATGTTCAGAAGTTGGCATCCTTTCTTGGAGTCACTTTCGGACCGGACTTCCCAGACAAGGTGGCTGAAAAATGTACATTCCGGAATATGGCTGAAGAGGCCACAAGAACATTCACACCATCCGACCAGTGGGAGAATTACACAAACAATAAAACACTTCCCATCTACCGGAAAGGTACGTATTTCTGCGATAGGTCCTGGTTTGACTACGGCACTTCGTTACTGTTATTCGTGTAATTAGGGAATATCGTATATTTTTGCAATGTAACATGATTATACTGCCGCAAATCGAGTCTTATATGCGATGCGGAACAGTAGGGTTATCCGCATTAAACTTCATATCAGAAAAAAAAACACTGATAGAAACAAGATGTTCTCTTTTTACAAAATTATCCGTCGATATGTCGTGATTAATTCGGTTTACCAATGAAATGACCTGATACATCGCAAATAAATTAGAACATACGTTTTATTTATTATCAAAGATTTATTTTATACATAAGCAATGTATGTATTAAACGTATCGCAACGTTTCAATACCGACTGGTCCCTTAGTCAAGATATTCAGAAACAACATACGTATTAAACATGCTGCAATGTGTTAAGACCGACTGGTCCCTTTGTCAAGCCATTGTTGCTGAAGAAGGTAAAACTTTGATTTAACATATTACCAAATTAATGATTCTATATTAAAGAAATTAGGACATACGTTTTATTCGTTACAGGTGCAGTCGGAGACTGGAAAAACTATTTTACAGTTGCGCAAAACGAACATTTTGACAAAGTGTACAACGACAAAATGAAAAATTCAACTTTTGGATTTCGATTTGAATAACAGTGTTATATTTTAAATCTGAATTAGCGTGTTAGAAAGGCATCAAATACTTTTATATCATAGCAGAACACGACTGTAAAACAAGGATTGCCATTGAAATAGTGTCTGTATGCTTATAGTTGTTTAGCACTCTAAATCAAATACGTATCATTTCTCTTATAAGACAATACTCAGCAGAAAAATGTTTATACCCTCGATCAGCAAACTGTTGTGTGGAGTTGTGTATGTATATTTCAGCATCCTATAAATAAATGTTTAGCCCTGTTCTGACTTCGATATCAATTATTTTGTTTCTTTTGGTTTTGTTTTTACATCTGAACGTAGATTGCTAACCTCTACAGATTTCAAAGTGACATTATTTCCTCATGTATATAATGGATTAAAAGTCAAAGTATAAGTTACCTGGCAGTGATATTCTAACATATGAATCGCGTTTCAAACACATACATTATATATGGCATTGTTTTCGGTCATCTATGACATTGATACTGCTAATCTATGATATTATTTCCGGTTATCTATGTCATTGATACTGCTATTCTATGACATTATTGCCGGTTATCTATGACATTGATACTGCTAATCTATGTCATTATTGCCGATTATCAATGTCATTGATACCGCGAATCTATGACATTATTACCGGTTTTCTATGACATTGTTACCGGTTATCTATGACATTGTTAACGGTTATCTATGCTATTGTTATCGGTTATCTATGACATTGTTACCGGTAATCTATGATATTATTATTAGTTATCTATGACACTGTAACCAGTGACCAATGACATCGTTTCCGGTTATCTCTAATATTGTAACCAGTTATCTATGATATTATGATCTGTAACGTATGACATTTTTATCGGTTACATATGCAACAGATTTTGGATATATACGGCATTGTGATCAGTTATTGATATTTTACCACTTTGTCCGTTTCTTGTGCTTGCCATGCATAAATCCTTCTTTTTTACGTGAGAAATATCATGAATTAATTTTATCTTTTTTTTTTGGAATGTTTTCCAGATTATAGTAGCAAATGGCAAAATTGTATTGAGAACCCAATTTAACATGGTGCTTTGCATGGTTGTGAAGCGTGACACCATTATAACCTGATGTCATAAAGTGCGTTACACATTCAGTATTTGCATCGCGTTATTTTTGAAAATGTAATAAATGGAAAAGTTCATGTGTCTTCACCAGTTAAATACCATATAGATGCTAACTGGTATTAAACAAATATGCGAATACAACTGGAAAACCAGCGATATGGCAAAATGTGTCTTCGAAGAAGCCTAGACAGGTAATAACTTCTTCAACAAGTTTCCCCAACCTACTATTAACATGTTTGTCCAATTCAAACAGGGACTTCATTTGACTGTCTAACCAAGAAGACAGTAATGTTTTATCAAAAAGTTAATTTCCCTTCTTTTTAAATCACGACGTTATTACAAAATTGTTTGCATTTTAGCATACAGTTCAACAAATGTTTTCTTTTGCCTTTGGCCAATTGACGAATGACACAAGTGTATCATGTGAGCATATTGAGCGTAAATATAAAAAAATATAACACAAAAAAAAATGCTATTATTATTCGCAAAATATATTTAAGTGTGCAGGATCCGTTCCCTCGTTGTTAATGGACTCTCAGAAAATATTTTTTTTATCAAAAGATCTGTACTCCTGCAGTTTTGATTCTTCTACATGTTGGTGTAAGTGCCTAATCAAAACCGTACGACTTAGATAAGAGCCTTAACAACCTACCAAACTAGCAAAACCATATACATCACACCAATAAACTCAGCAAAGACACCTAAACATATCACTGACTACACCTGACTATCCGTCATAACACACTGTATCAACTTCCAGTTCCGACTACCTGTCATGTCATACTGTATCATGTTCAAGTTCTGACTACCTGCCATGTCATGCTGTATCATGACCCAGTTCTGACTACCTGTCATGTCATACTGTAGCATGACCCAGTTCTGACTACCTGCAATTTCACACTGTATCATGTTGCAATATCTGACTACCTGCCATGACACACTGTATCATGTTACATGTTCTGACTACCTGTCATGTCACACTGTATCATGTTCCGGTTTCTGACTACCTGTCATGTCACACTGTATCATGTTCCAGTTTCAGAATATCGGTCATGTCACACTGTATCATATTCAGGTTTCTGATTACCTGTCATGTCACACTGTATCATGTTCCAGTTTCTGACTACCTGTTATGTCAAACCGTATCTTGTTCCAGTTTCAGACTATCGGTCATGTCACACTGTATCATGTTCCAGTTTCAGGCTATCGGTCATGTCACACTGTAACATATCTCAGTTTCTGATTACCTGTCATGTCACACTGTATCAGGTTTCAGTTTCTGACTACCTTTTATGTCACACTGTATCTTGTTCCAGTTTCAGACTATCGGTCATTTCACACTGTGCCATGTTCCAGTATCTGACTCCCTGTCATGTCACACTGTATGATGTTCCAGTTTCTCACTACCTGTCATGACACACTGTATGATGTTACATTAACTGTCTGCCTGTCATGTCAAACTTTATCATGTTCCAGTTTCTTATTACCTGTCATGTCACACTGTATCATGTTACAGTTTCTGACTACCTGTCATGTCAAAATGTATCATGTTCCTGTTTCTGACTAACTGTCATGTCACACTGCAGTATGTACCAGTTGCTTCCTACCTGTTATGTTACACTGTATCATGTTACAGTTTCAGACTATCGGTCAAGTCACACGGTACCATGTTACAGTAACTGACTACCTGTCATGTCACACTGTATGATGTTCCAGTTTCTCACTACCTGTCATGACACACTGTATGATGTTACAGTAACTGACTACCTGTCATGTCAAACTTTATCATGTTCCAGTTTCTTATTACCTGTCATGTCACACTGTATCATGCTACAGTTTCTGATTACCTGTCATGTCACACTGTATGATGTTCCAGTTTCTGACTACCTGTCATGTCACACTGTATGATGTTCGAGTTTCTCACTACCTGGTATGTCACACTGTATCATGTTCCAGTCTTTGACTACCTGGCAGGCCACACTGTTTCATGTTCCAGTTTCTGACTAACTGTCATGTCACACTGTATCATGCTCCAGTTTCTGATTACCAGTTATGTCACACTGTATCATGTTACAGTGTCTGACTACCTGTCATGTCAAAATGTATCATGTTTCAGTTTCTGAATACCTGTCATGTCACACTGCAGTATGTAACATTTGCTTACTACCTGTTATGTTACAATGTATCATGTTTACAGTTTCTCACTACCTCTCGTGTCACAATGTTTGATATTACAGTTTCAGACTATCGGTCATGTCTCACTGTTTTATGTTACCGTTTCTGACTACCTGGCATGACACACTGTATCATATTACAGTTTCTGACTACCTGTAATGTCACAATGTATCATGTTCCAGTTTCTGACTATCCGTCATGACACACTGTATCATGTTACAGTTTCTGACTACCTGTCATGTCACACTGTATCATCTATTAGTTTCTGGCTACCTTCCATGTAACACTATATAATATTTCAATTTCTATTTAAGTTGGACACAATTCAACCTGTTCCATTTGCTGAGGAATTTGACCAGATTTACATTGCATGTGCGTATTATTTTGTGAAGAGAGATAACTATCGACATGTTTATGTATTGAAGCTACACGAAAATTTGTTCAAACAACCAAAAACAATTAATCAGCAAAATGTTATCAGCTCACGGTTGCTAGCGGTGGTAACAAGTCATGCACTGCAATTCTCCCCTCCAGACCCCCCATTCTGCCTGTGGAGTCAGTATGAACCCCCGGAAGGCCTAGTACGGTACAAGTCGAAAACAACGTAGATCCAGTTGATCCCGTCTTATATGAAATGCAGTCGAACAGGTAAATGCAATATCAACTTGTTTTGTCCTTTCAAGCCACGTCTGGTTTCCTGCCCAATGCATCGTTCAATTATGGCAGCTTCACATTCAAGAAGATGCACAACCCCGAAATTTAGCGACTCTACACTACGAGCTAGTAAAAAGAGGGCTGCCGTAGACTCACACCTAACTCGCGTCTAGACATTATTTTTCCGCGATGACGCGTCAGAAAATTGGATTCATCAACAAAAAATAAATATGACACTTACATATAGTGTTGAGTTTAGTTTCTACATAATTTGGCTATATAGAACTATCATCTTATCCAATTGTGTTGTATAATGGTCTTTCTATGACGGACTGAATTATTTTTACATTACGTCAATATGTAGGGACTTACACAAGTTCTAGAACCTGGGGCAAACTATCAGAAGTCTTGAAACAAATTCAAAGTGAACTCGCAGTTCCTTAAATTTGTTTCAATTCCAACTCAATTGATCACCCCATGAAATAGACCAAAGCATGATTCAATCCTTAATTGTTAAAGTTTCTGACTACCTGTCACTTGTGTGTATGTATCAATCATTGGCATTTCTTGAATTCGACATCATTTGCGTTTTATTAATGAGATTTAGACAGAAAGCAGTCTTAAGTCACAATTATCGTATTTTTTCATTATATTTTTGGTAAACTTCGAATGTTTGATCTTTTGTTCAGATGTCAACAAATTGACGATCTTTCAGGATAACTCTTCTTTAATTTCAAGTACCTGCCCAGAATGTGATGCATAATGCATTGTATATAATTGACTGTCTATAACCTCATCTGTTGTTTTGAATTATTGTTTAACGGAGATGGCTTCATAAGTTGTTCTTACTTGTACCAAATCCTATTTTCCAAATTCTGGTTTATAAAATATGTTTGAAGTCAATGCATTGTGAAATGACCATCACATGTATAATCGCAGAAAAAGTATAACGACCTCCATCCTGTCTTATTGCTTTCACATCATACATGTTCCTATTTGATGCTGCTACATTTACAACTGGCCTGCCTGGCCCTGTCTCCTCTTTCTTGTTACAATTTTACCATTCTTAAATTTGTTCAGACATCGGCAAATATTTCTCAATAGAGCAGCAAGTAAACGTATTTTATCATTTTTCGAGATAATGTGCAATTTAACACATTATACATGTCTTACGCATTCACCTTTCTATCAAATCTTCTGCCCAAAAGGGAAAAAAACACAAAATATTTTTGATTTGGATCCGTGATCCCTACATGTACAACTGGCCTGCCAGACCGTGTCTCATTTTTCTTGTTACAACTTTACCATTCGTAAACTTGTCCAGTCATCGGCAAATATTTCTCAATATGACGGCAAATGTGCCGTTTATGCTGTAGACCTCCACATGCATTCAATATATTAGCTTAATATAGGCTTTTATATAGGAGCATATTTCGGATACAGTTTCTAACTTCATTTCAGCATTGAAAAGTAGCCACTAGTCAGTAATGTATGCCATTAAAATGAATGCCTTGTTTAATACATGTCGGATGATGTCGTAATTTTTAACATGCATGCTCTTTCAGTCTGTCAAGGTGCTAAACTTTGTATTGTCCGTTTTTGCTCGAACTGTGTGATAATAAATCGTATTGAATGACCCTCATACAAATTATACTAGCTATCCCTGTAGTCGGGCGAGGTTAGATTTAAAACACACATTTAACGAATGAACTTTAGGCTGATAAGCTTACCTTTAGGTGATAAGCGGGGATGATTTAGAGAGTGTGTACAGACACCTACACTGATACGTGACGTTACTAGTTAAGCTCAATGACGGTAAATGAGAGCAGCCAGCAAACGTATTTTAACATTTTTCGTGATAATGTGCAATTCATTACATTGTACATGTCCTAACATCGGTAATAACAAATTCACTTACAAAAACAACTCAACATGTTTCTCTTGTCAGCGGTATCTGTACGATGTCAAACATGTCAGAATAGGATTTGTAGGAAATCCATTGGATATAACATTTATTGTTGTACTGTTCTTATTATTATGCTAGTATACATTTTCAAAACGCCTCATGAATGTCATTTAGAATTGATATTGATGGGGATTCGTTGTTATTTGTACCAGTATAGGCTAAATTACTTTTAGCGCGTTTATCATTATCGTATTGTATGCAGTAAACCACGTTTCCTTTGGATTATATTTTCCTGTTTTCTATCGGGGAAACGTTTCTTTGAACTTTAACGTCACAATCGAAGATAACGTCGCTAAGCATTGTTACTTGACGTTATGAAATAACGTCCAGGATGTTACCCGTAAGATAACCAAAAAGGTTAACCAACACCTAGCGGGTTTATTTAATCAGGTGGGAATGGGAAAAACCTTTACTGTTTGTGGGGGACATCTAAGTAGGTAATATATGATAAAGAGCGCTTCAATGTCACTTCCTAACGTTGGAGATATCAAACAGATTAAAGGTCAATTTATGGTGTTACGATATGCCTGCTGAAGATTGTGTGTGGCAACTCTCGGCCACCGGAAATTTATGTACGCGTGTCTAGCTTGAGGTATACATTTACAAAGGACAATTGTTGGAAACAGTTAGCTGTTATAAAGATGGCAGAGCTGGTCGACGTACGAGACGACGAGGGAAATTTCGCGAAATATAAAAAGTATGATGGCAGATACTATGTCAAACATTTCGTTGGCAATGTCAAAGATCATCTGGCTGCAATAGACTCAATGGACGTCAGAGATGATGACACATTCATTCTCACGTATCCAAAATCAGGTTCGTATTTTCATGTTTCCAAACGTACATACATCTACGGGCATTTCAAGTTAAATCCAATTCAAATTTCGGAGTTAAAATAATAAATATTCTGCCCCTGTTTAAAGCCATTCTAAACTTGACAAAATGGCAGAACTTATTATAAAGTATCACTTATACTTCAAAAGTGTTCAGCGTTACAGAAACAAAATATGAAAATATCGTTGGTGTTTCACAATCACAGATGACATCGTGCTACCAAATAATTTAAAAAAAATAATGGAAATAATTTAATTTATTGATGAAATGTCCAAACAAATATCGTTATATCAATCAACAAACACGCCACTAAAACACGTAAAAGTACATGAAAACATATATCTATGTTATCTTTGTCTCTTAAAAGGAACTCATTGGGGATTTACTCTTGCCAGCATGCTTCGTACTGGAGAAACTGTCTACAGAGGATCACCGACATTCTTAGACTACACCGATAAGGAAACGCTTGATAATCTTCCGTCCCCTAGAGTATTTGCGAGTCACATGACCTTTGACTTCATGCCTAAACAAGTTAAGGAAGGGAAGGGCAAGGTCATTGCAATATTTCGGAACCCAAAAGATGTTCTCACATCAATCCACACGTTCGCGAAAAAATTAGATGGATTAAAAGAAGATTACAAAATGACATGGAAAGGCCTTCTCAATTTTCACATGGAAGGAACAAGTAAGTTACCGCTCAAGACCCCATACCACTGCCAAATTACTGTATTATTTTTATATCAGCAATTAAATAACCTTGATAAATGATTTCTGATACTAAAACCAAGCCTTGCGATACTTTTATATAAAAGAATTAAGATAAAATATAAAAATATGGCGGGCTAGACCGGAATTCGAACCCTGGACTTCAAATTGTTATACTATTACTGTACCTGTTCAACGAAAGTATATATACATACCAGTGTTAGATGTTTTCCCAGTTGGTATGAGCGTATGGTAATTTCTATTATAGTTTTCTACGGTTCCTGGTTTGATTATATACACTCTTGGGATAAAGTGAAGATAGAGCACACGGAAAATAATATCATGTATCTCATGTATGAAGACATGATACAGGTGAGCTAATTATCTATTTATCTCCAGGTAAAATATCATTAAAAAAAACTTCAGCGTTAACATATACAAGCACAACCAAACATATATGTCCAATATTCTCTCGATCAATTTAATTGTAACTATGTCGAAGTTTCTTTTAAACTGAGTGATTTTGTATGTTCAATGCTGCTTAATGAACGAAAATGCAATAATGTTATTTCGGTGAGTAATAGTTTTATAGAACTGCATCGTGATCATGAAAACGTCTCGGTTAATAAATGTATATTAAATTTATGTAACCTCTTATTGACCGACACAGGCGTTGTGTTTTATTCTTTTTTTCTTTTGGATTTGTATTTAACATTTCTTCTTTAGGACCTGAGCTCGCACGTACATGAGTTGGCGTTGTTTCTTGGAGACACTTACGGATCAGACTTCGTGGACAAGGTTACTGCAAGATGTACATTTAGCAACATGGCCGAAGAGGCCACGAGGACATTCACACCATCCGAACAGTGGAAGACCGTTACCACCACAAAAACACTCCCGATCTACAGGAAAGGTACGTGTATTCAGACGGGGTCTAAGTTTCATTATTTATACATTGTTCCGTTTGATATTTAATGTTTTATTTTTTTGTAATCATTTCGATTGACCATTCAAATACCGTGTTACATGGCAAATTAATTCAACTTTTATTTTTATTTTACAGGTGTGATTGGTGACTGGAAAAATTATTTTACAGTGGCTCAAAATGAATATTTTGACAAAGTGTACAACGACAAAATTATAAATTCTACATTCAAATTTCGATTTGTATAACAGATTTATTAAATGTTTGATATACGTTGTAAGTCGATAATCTGTAAAATACATTATCGTTTACGTATTAAATGTTCTCAATAAACAAACTTTGTAAAGTTGTTCTTTTAATTTGCTATCCATAGCTTAATTTGAAGTCCTCTTTCGCAAAAAAAATGCAATATTAAACCAGTCTTTTTTTCATTGTCTTTAAAATGTGTTATTCTACTTTTATTATCCCCTCGCAACGAAAGTTCGAGGGGATATAGGATTCCATCCGTACGTACGTACGTAAGTAAGTATGTACGTATGCTACACTCTTTTTCATCGCTCTAGCGACTTTATTACGGAACGGAATGTCATGACACTTCATACAATTGTGTAGTATGACAATAGCGTGAATAAGTTCGAGTGTCGGGTTTCTACGTTCATTTCCAAGGTCACTGTTACTATTATTTTAATAAAACATTGCCATCGCTCTACCGACTTCATTACTGAGCGGAATTTCATGAAACTTTATACGTTTGCATTTCCGGTGTCTATGTTTAAGGTCAAGGTCACTGTTAAGAAGAACTTTGTCATCGCTCTACTGACTTCATTCCTCAACATAATTTCATGAAAATGTATACAAGTATTTGGTATGGCAATATCTTGAATAAGTGCGCGTTTCAGATTACTGCGTTAAAGGTCAGGGTCACTCTTACTAATTTTTCCAAAAAACTTCGTCATAGCTCTACCGTCTTCATTTTCTCTTAAATATGTCACAATGTGTGAATGCGAGTGGCTTTGTATCACTTATGATGCTTTATTGCATTGTTGCAATAATAAATTATGAAATGTGAAAGTTACCTGTAAACCAACTGGGAAAAAATGGTCCCTGTTTGGAATCCAAAGAATCTTTTCAAGACAGGGCTTTTTTCAATGATGACTTGTTTTGTATATGTATTTGACTTCAACAACGTTAACCTCATGTTATTTAGGTCGCCTTATTTTTATATCGGGGTTTCTTTTTTAAATATGTTTGGCTACAGTTATATCCAGGGCAATAATAAGGTTCATAATTGAAAAATAAGGATAAACTTATATTTTCATATCTGTCCTGATTCGTCATCGGCATTAACATCTAATATATGACCAAACCACGTACAGATTTCAAAGTGACATCAATCTGTAAAGATAATGTATGTGTACTCATGTGAGGTAACATGATATCAGGACATATCTTTGCTTTATCAATGTATAATTTATATAGATTAAGTTACTGAACTAGATCATGCCAGATAGTCTGAAACTGGAACACGATAACTTGTGTTATAAAATGAAGTAATCTTGAGTATCACAGTATGCCATGACAGGTAGTCTGAAACTGGAACACGATACCTTGTGTTATAAAATGAAGTAATCTGGAGTATCACAGTATGCCATGACAGGTAGTCTGAAACTGGAACATTGCACAGTACAGTATGTCATAGCAGATAGTCAGAAAATGTAACATGATACAGTTCGACATGACAGGTAGTCAGAGAATGTAACATATTACAGTGTGACATGACAGATAGTCAGAAAATGTAATATGATACAGTGTGACATGACAGGTAGTCAGAAAATGTAACACGATACAGTGTGACATGACAGATAGTCAGAAAATGTAACATGATACAGTGTGACATGACGGATAGTCAGAAAATGTAACATGATACAGTGTGTGATGACGGATAGTCAGAAAATGTAACATGATACAGTGTGTCATGACAGATAGTCAGAAACTGTAACATGATACAGTGTGTCATGACAAGTAGTCAGAAACTGGAACATTGCACATCAGAAAATTGTTTTTACTCTGCAGCATGAAATGAAATTCAAAACTCGAATAAAAAAAAATATCAACAAAGAGCGGGCCTGCAAGCATCTGCATGTGTGTTTCTATGGTACATGATTTGAACTGCAAGCAGACCATAAAACACTGGAATATATCTTTTCCTCAACGTTCGCTGGTTATTCGAATGCCATGATAAATAGATGGATACTCATGCTTCAACGCTGTCGATTTACTGAAAAGTACACACCTGAGAGTCAGAACAACGCTGATAGCTTGTCCAGGCTGATCAATGACCAAGGCAAGGGAGACAACTCGTTTTGTCTAACAGACAACTTCAAATCAGAAGACGATGAGTTTGTGAAATTCGTGCCTCGCAACTTCACCCCCAGGCCAATGACTCCTATTAAAATTGAGGAGGCTTCAGCATTGGAAGAGTAACTGATTAACTTGAGAAAGTGTATACGTTACAGATAGGAAAATAATCACCATTATCTGGTTACAATAAACAGCATGACTCAGACAATGGCTTGAATAAGTATTTATTAAGTTCGATGCAGATCAAACTGACGACGGAACTCAACATATTGATATTTCTGTGGAGGTTCTATCGATGTTTTTCGGTTATTTCTGTACCTAGTCCATACAATCACGTCAATGTTCGCGTGACACTACATGTAGATGTCCTACCGGACACATGATTGTACATATGTATACATTTGTTCCAGGTATTGAAGCTACAATTGCGTACAAATTTCCCTTTGTTTAAAGTGACAAAACCAAACTTTCCGCGTTTTGTTACCTTTCTTTACTCACCTGCCTGAGTTTAAACTTGTCTATCTGACACAGGCGTTTCACACTTGTGACGTCACGCGGTAAAGGGTTACATCGAAGCGTGATCGATAAGTTCGTACAGGTCAGTTTTGCACTAATCGCCGTATAGCAAAAAAGCGCCATTGGATAACTCGCGTAACACTTTTAGATATCATTCTTATGCGGGCTAATAAAAAATACAAGATGGTCTCCCTTGAAAAAGGAAAGCAATCATGGGCGTGTTAAAGTGTTTTAAAATACAACGAACAAAAAACGTGTACATGTAACTTTACATTTTATTCGGGAAAAAAACTAGGTAAGATATGCACAGTAACTGAATTATGTTTAATCTTTAAACTGAAGATCTTTCATCTTTAACATGCATCACTAAATAACGTAAAATGCAAGTTGTAGATATGGAAAATATTTGATGAACAACTGTTTTTTTTCAGAATTGAATACCGTTAATTCAGATGATTATTTTCAGAATGTAAAAAGGAATAATTTTTTGTTTGGAAAAAATATGTAAAATAAAAATGATAAATAATGTCAACATGAATTGTTTGTAAATTAACGATTTTAACACTCTTTTGAAATATGCTTTACTACAGTATCACATCTGTATTTAGTAATTAGAATATTTATTTCTATCTTTTTGAATTCAATAAGCTCACAGGTCATGCAATGCCCAACTGTATACATGAATAAAATACATTGATAAAATAATAAAAAAATTCGCAAGAAAAATATTTCATAAAATAGAATAATAATGTGTTTAAAAAAATAGCACTGATAACATCTATTGAAGCATGCTGCTGATGACACTCATTGCATCATGCTGATGGTGATGATGATATCTATGATGATCAGATCATTTGAATGGTAACTATGATGATGCTGATGATGATGATGATGATGATGATGAAAATCAGCATAAACAGTTCCATAAAAACAAAATGTATGGAAGTGTTTATTTAATATTGAAAGTTTACAATCATTGATTATCAAAACTACATGGATGGAGTTTATTTAAGCATAACATAGGTAAAGATTGGTAGATTTCAGGAATTTAATTTTACAATACCAACAATCAATATTTCTTTTTCAGCATCAAGAGAAAGTAATTTCACATATCTAAAATATGCATTTGTCACCGGTTGCTCAGTTTTAACACCAAAACACGGACAAATTGTGTATGCAAATATCTTTCTTTACAAGCTCAGAAAAACTGGGTATGATGTTCCTAGTATAGCTTGCTAATAAATGCTGGCGGCAATGTGTCTTTACGCCGCTATACAATCAGTCAATCTGGAGCACATATCCTTCTCTCACGAGTCGGATTGTAAGCATGACCAGTGGGCACTAAGTATTTACCCAGTAGCCGGAATATAGTGGCGGGAATATAGGGTGCTTTATTCGTGCAAGGGCATGTCCAAGGTCTACGTCGTAAGTACAATTGAGTCAGAATGTGGAAACGGAACATAACACAGGTACATGCATTCCGAACTGATGACGTCACACACACTGCTTACCAGACGGGACAACACACGTGTACACAGACAGTTGAAAACACTCGTTGTAATATTGATATATACACACCATATATATATATATCATATATATCCGGGTTACATACTCCCATGCGGGTGGAAATGTTTCCCGCATTTGTTATTACCTTAAAAGAACTTGGATTAAATATCTTTTAAAGTGAAATTCAGTCTTATCGGCGTATCGCCTTGTCATAGCTTCATAAGTCTGTAGCCTGTACAAAATAATGAAATTCATGCAGTGTTTTATACTAAATCAATTAAAACCTACAAAGTAATTATCTAAATAAAAATCTGTAATACAATCAATCAACCATTGTGACATTTAATTACAAATTCCTGAAAGTAATCTGTTAACTCCATCTTTCTTCGAATGACTGCCTGTGCCCCATGGAAATTCCTGAAAGTATGGACTGTTGTGAAACGATTTTTATCCACCTAATCCTCAATTTACATTACAATGAGTGAATCACATAATAGTCAAGGTTCGTTATGAAAAATCCAAGTGAATATAGTCTAACATGTATATAACTACACCCAAACTTCACGATTGCCACAAACAGCATTTAAAGAGCACACCCACTGACCGAATCTGTCTGGCGGTTTCAGGTTCCGGTGTGATCTCCGTGGAGATACCAGCTCTTCATCCCCTGAACTATCTGCCAAAAAATGTTCAGGTGACCTTTTTTGTGTCTTTTTTTTTTTGTATTATTTTAATTTTTCAAAGGTTTTTCTGGTACAATATGTATAAATAGATATACTTTGTTTTCATACTCCCTTGCACTCATTTGCACGCTCACTGCATTCACATATACTCACTCATCATTTCATAAAGTTTTGTTATCATCATCATCACTCTAATATCTTTATCATTACATTGACATCATCCTCATCGTTATCATCCTGACATCAGTAAAATCATCATCATACTGATTTCATCGTCATGACACTCTAAACAGACATCATCATCATTATCATCATCCTCATGACATTAAACACTGAAATCTTCATCATCATTATCATCATCATCATTTTCAACATCATCATAATCATCCCACTGATATATCCATCATGACACTAAATCATCATCCAATTGACATAAACTTTTTCATTATTATTATTATCATCGTCACGACTAAAATCATCCTCTTTCTCTCAATGATATCAATCATAATCACACTAATATCATCATCGTTACTGAAATCAACATCATTCTCACAATAATATCGTAAGCACACTGTTGTCGTCATCAAACGGATATAATTATCATCATCATAATCATGACTAAAATCAACATTATGCTCATACTACTATCATAATCATCAAACTGGTATCATTATCATCATCATAATCATGACTGAAATCAACATCATTCCCACAATAATATCAAAATCACACTGTTGTCATCATCAAACTAATATCATAATCATCATCATCATAATCATGACTAAAATCAACATTATGCTCATACTACTATCATCATCATCAAACTGGTATCATTATCATCATCATATGACATTTAAATCATCCTCATCATTACCCAGACATTCTCATCATGACATTGACATAATCTTCTTTATAGTTATCCTCATCATTCTCTCACAAATTTCATCAACAAGGCACTAAAATCATCATCATCATCATCATCATCATAATTACACTGATTTCATCATTATCATACCCATGCAATCATCAACCTCTAACTGATATAATTTTCATTGTATAATGATAAAATCATGACATTTAATTATTCATTGTGATAAAAGTAGTTATCATATTGATATCAGCATCATCATAATAAACAAAAATACCAATGCTATTCACATGTGAGTGTTAATTTGCTAAAGCATATCATATCATCTCTCTCACACTTTTCATACTTTCTTTTGAAATACATTCTTAAAATTTTAAATGTATTCTGATGTTCAGATGTATTATAGAAAGAAGAGGGAAAGGAAAAGAAAGGGAACTTTGATACAGTCAATTAAAGAAACATTCTCAGCAATTTCTATTTCAAATCTTGTTGATTCATACAACTATGTGCAGGAGAAAATGAGATACAGTCTTCCGGAATAGTAAAGTATTCAAGGATCTTAGGTTGAGGAGAGAGAGGGGGGGGGGGGGGGGGGGGGGGGGTGAGAGGATGGAGATTGGTTACAGAAGAACAATGTATCACATTAACCTGTCGATCGTACAGTAACAGTTGTATTATATCAGCTCAATATACTTAGAGTATTCCTATCTATTACTGTTACCCCTTAATTGGTTTTCTACATATAAACCATGAAATTGAGGGTTTTATGGGATATTAAGTAGGTTTTGCCACTTTTCCCAGTCTTTTTGGAAGGTATGTCTGTGTTTTTCATCTTTCCAATTCACAATATATTTCTGTATCTCATAAGTCTCTTTTATACAGTTTATAAGGCCATTTACTGATAGAGCTTTTTCTAGGCATCTTGCTTTGTAAATATAATATTTTATAATAAGAATAATTTGGTTATTTACCATGTATCGAGTTCTGGTTTGATCATATCAACCAAAGGTAAATGTTTCCTTATTAAAAGCAAAAGGAATAAACAAAATATCTAATACAAACTCAAAGTTTGTTAATAAATTCTGAACTTGATTGCACTCCCATAGTGCATGCTCTATTGTTTTAATGTCTGATTTACAAAAATAACAATGAGGATTAACTTCTTTTCCAGTCCTGTACAGCTATGCGTTTGTGGTTAAGATATGTTGATTAACTCTATACTGAAACCATTGTAGTTTTGTGTTCTGGTTACTTGAAATGGTATTTTGTAGATATTTCTCCATGTATTATCATTATAATCAAAATAGTTACTCCATTTCTTTCTACCAGTTGACAGTGTATCATTTTTACAAAGCAAACTATGAAAGTCTTTTGTCCCTTTCCTATTTCTTAGAAATGTTTGTATATAACTAGGTATATAAGGATAGCTTATACATTTTATTTCATGTTGTTGAGAGAGATGTCTTTTAATTGTAGATAGCAGACCATGGTACTGAAGAAAATTTCTTTCAATTTTGAAAATTTGTCTAACTTCTTGTAAAGTATAA